CTAGTTGACATTCTAGTACTACACTATGTTTGTATTGAGTCACTTTGAAAATCTGACCGATAAATTGAGGGGTTCGTGGATTTTCCAATGTTTCGAGAGGTGCAGTGACCGAAGAGAGTACCAGAGCTGAGCCAACAATTTGAGCACGTTTCTTCGGGATCTTCTGATCTTAGAGTTACCTCTATGATAGTACACTTCGATCTTATACAGTAATCATACCATAGAGGTAACGCTAAGACTAGAAGGTCCCGAAATGACGTGCTCAACTTTTTGGCTCAGCTCTGGTACTATCTTCGGTCCCAAGCTAATCGATTCACCCCTCGAAACATAGGAAAAACCAATAACCCCTTATTTTATCTGTCAAACTTGCATAGCGAATCAAAACAAACATTGCGTAGTACTATAATTTTGACTAGAATGGGGTACGTTAATCGTTTGCTTGGGACCAATAGGCTAGTCAAGTAGTGAGCCAATTTAAAATCGTTAGTTTCGTATTGATTGTTGATCATACGCTGGTTGGGACGTAACCTCTTCCCATCTACCGAATGCCATTCGATAGTTGGGACGGCTCTGAGAAAGTCAAACCATAGAGGTAACTCTAAGACCAAAGGTCCTGAAGAAACGTGCTCAACTTTTTGGCTCAGCTCTGGTACTCTCTTCGGTCCCAAGCTAATTGTTGCACCCCTCCAAACATTGGAAAATCCACGAACACCTCAACTTATCGGTCAAATTTTCAAAGTAATCAAAATAAACACAGTGTAGTACTAGAATGTCGACTACAATGGGGTATGTTAATCGATATACTTGCAACCAATAGGCTATTCAAGTAGAGAACCAATTTAAAATCGTTTTTTTTTCCACCGGTTTGTCAAACTGTAGTTTTTTGCGAGAAAAAATCAACTAGAACATCAATTAGTTGTCAAGGCTTGTTTGACGCCATTTTCTGACGGATAACTGTTTTTTAGCTGAGTGGTGCGGACTTGATCACTTTCGATTTTCAAATCTTTTCTCTTGAAAAATAATATCTTCTTGCTTATGTTTGCTTCCTCTCACTGCCACTCCTCTTTTTTTAAAGAGCAAAAATATATTTGCTTGATCGAGGAAATATTTTGTAACGAGCGGAACCAGTCTTTAAATTGTTATTCAATACGAAACTGTTCAAAACAAATTAAAACAGTCGTACACACTTAAGTTTTTTTTACCAAGATTCCAACTGCCGAGTAGTTCTGCAATTTATTTTGCAAAGATATCAACAAAAGTAAATGCCGAGGAAATCGGCTGCTGGAGATTTTACCGAGCTAGATTAAAAGTGTATCTGTTTGTATCAGGGCCCCAAACACTCACTTTCAATCGAAAATCTTCAAGTGACGATGAAGCTCTCAACCATCACTTTCGATTGAAAGTCATTATGTCTTCTCTTCGAGCAGATCCCCGTCAACATCAACAAAACCACTTTCGATCGGTTTTCATGCTGTTTGTTTTGGTTTGACTCGTGTTCATTTTTTCTTTCATTGTCAAATGAACGTACTTTTGCATTGAAGCGAAGCTGTTTGATCCAAATTCGCGCAGTTTTTTATGACTTTTGTTACTTTTGTTCACTCGGTTCATTTAGGCGTAGATTTGTGCACGTGGTTGTAAAATTTATCATTGTTGGGTGGTTTGTTTACCCATCAATATCGATCTAGAGATCGAAAATTGATATGCGACGCCATTTTTAAATCCAAGATGGCAGCTTCCAGTTTAAGAAAAAGTGGGAAATGCTGTCACATACTTATCAATAAAGGTATTTTTGGAATCGGGATGATGCCTACAGGATGAAAATCAATATCCGATGCCATTTTGAAATCGAAGCTTTAGATTTACGAAAAAGTGGAAATACAGTCAAATACACATTAATATTGGTATTTTTGTAATCGGTATGAAGTCGACAAATCGAAATCCAAGAGTAGGCTATTTGGCTTCTTAAATTGAAAGCTACCATCTTGAATTCCAAGAGGGCGTCGTACATCGATTTCTGGCTTCTAGATGTCAGCCCGATAAAAAAAAAACCCACATTGATCGGTATTTGACAGTATTTCACAATTTTTCTGAACCAAAGCTGCCATCTTAGGTTTAAAGACGGCGTGACATCAATTTTCGGCATCTACGGCTTATCCCCATCTTGAAACTTCCCATATTGTACGATATTTGACACTTTTGCACAAATCGGAAGCCGCCGTTTGGATTACAAAATGGCGTCGGATATCGATTTCCGGCTTCAAGACGTAACCCGCATTCTAAATAAAACGTTTGTATGGGTATTTGATGGATTACAAAATGGTGTCGGATATTGATTTCTAATCTCCAGACGTCACCGCTATTCTAAAAATACCCATATTGATGGGACTGCATCAGCATTTCCCATTTTTTTTTTATCTGAAATAGGAATCCATCATATTGGATTTCGAAATGGCTTCTTTCTTCTTCTTCGCATTTAAAGCTTATTGCATATCGCATATTAGCTCATAGCGTGCTCTCAACTTAGTGTTCTAGATGCACTTCCACAGTTATTAATTGAGAGCTTTCGATGCCTGTACCATTTTTGCATTGGTATAATTGTATGGCAAGTCCAATCATACTTCTATGCCCAGGGAAGTCGAGAAATTTTCCAACCCGAAAAATTCCTAGACCGGACCGGGAATCGAACCCAGCCACCTCCAGCATGGTATTGCTTTGTAGCTGCGCCTTTACCGACTGAGCTAAGGGAGGACCCTAACTAGTTCCAACCCCGATAATAAATGAATTCGCTATTAGACTTTCGTTTCCACACACACAACGCCTAAAATGTATAGGGTAAACGCTCCTATAGTTGCGGTACGTTAGAAGTGTTAGCTTCCTATAGTTGTGTATTGAGTCTCCATACACAACTATAGAAACCTAACGTTTAGGGATGGCATCAAAGATATCTTATTAACAAGATATCCCTTTAATCAATTCCTCATACAAGCAAAGATATCCAATTAACAAGATATCTCACTACAAGGCATATAATTACTACCCTTATGTGATCGCAGTGCCATCTGTTGAGTGCACATTGAAACTGTTGGGAGTTCCCTGCCAACTTCACCACCAGGGCTCAATAACTGACAGGTGTCAGCATGACAGATGTCAACGCGGACGAGGATAGAGGACGATATCATCTTCGAAGTCATCATTATATTGCGATAGCAAGATTCTGACTTGTTTGTGATTGCTACGATTGTCAATCATTACCACTTTATACGCAACAGAAACACTTGAGAAAACAATCACACATCCAAGCGCGCATCATGCTTGTAATATTGTTTTGCTTTCGAGCGAAAGAGTTTCCAATATACCACCGGTATCAGTAAGGTGCTAATCTCTAATCGTAATTGATGATTTGCGGAGCTGGTGCTCAAAATAATCTTAATTAGCATAGAAGTAGTAAACATTGGACAACATTCACTGTCTCTAAAGAATTATTCCAAACCCCCAGCCACTGGAAATGAAACGTATCGAAATCATTGCTAAACGTAATAAAATATGCCGTCTTCTTTGGCCAACGCATTCCATTAAAAAAAAAACGTTAGAATAATCATTACTTTCCTATTTCATAACGTAGGAAGTATTTGTCAATGCCGGTGAAAGCAAACACAAACGGAAGTAGCTGAAGCTGAATGATGACGATGAGTAATGACACCGCTTAGTGTTCTGTTTTGCGCTGTATTGTCCGCTCAGTTGTGTGGGTTCGTACATGTTCGTGATGTTGGTGTACGTGTTTTCTTCTAACGCTGCAGTTCAACGTTGTCTCGTCACAAACCGTTTGGCGCTGTTATCTGTCTCTATAAATTCCAAAGAGTGAAGGGGGTGTGATGGCATGCTCATGAATGTTTTGTTAGTTTTTCCACATAGGGTAGAGCGCTACTTCGTCGTAATCGCCCATTTCCGGTCTATCAATCAGAAAAGATCAATAATATCAATGATTTCACCGTTGCCAACCCAATAATTAGTGTCTTGTACTAATATTTGACTCAGTCATGTCGAGTATTAGTACAAGACACTGAAGAAGTCTGCACATTGTAGACGAAATACGCGTATCTGTCAAGGATAAGCAAATAAGGTAGTCGAAATAAAATGGAATCTTTCTCTCTCTCTTAATTTGTGACTCTTTATCACATCCACCGGTACGTATGGAAAGGTGAATAAACTTAAGAGTCATCTTTGACAGAAAAATTTCATTTTTTTTTTTATCAAACCCGTTTAAAAAAGAGAGGTAAAGCGCGGGTTGTGCTTAGTAGGACGGAAATTAGATCAAAACCCCTATAGTAAAAAATAACAATAAGATCACTGCAAAACGTCAAAATATAAAGGAGTTACTGTTTGAACGGAAAAACTCATCGGTGATTTTTGCACTGTTGAATATCGCAAGGCGAATAATATCACGCATGGGATTTGAGTTTTTAGTTTTTTTTTCCGAATACTGCTTCTGGGGCAATTTTTGTATTGGGACAATTTCCAAACATTTCCACCCCGTGTTTATGGACGCTTCGTTTTATATCAAATGATTAAAGTGAGAGCAAAGAATAGTAACACCCCGCCATACGGTAGTCAACATTTGCTCGCGCAACTCAATTTAAAAGTATGCTTTCAATCAAATCTGAACGTGGATTGTACACAACAGGAACCCACTTAAGGTAGCAGACGTTAGTCACTGTGACCCGTTAGAAGGGGGGAAAGGAACACAACATTACCCGTAGACGTTATATAAATCAGCCAAATTGCTTCCTAAAGCAAGAGCTATGGAATCACGTGCTTTGCACAGACAAATTCAAAATTATCACTAAAGAGGTAATAGATCACGATAAGTGCAAACAGAGCAGACAGAGGTTTTGATAATACAATCGATCATTTCATCAACTGGCGTTTCCTTCTCGTAGTTGATGTTTAGCGTAGACCCGTACAAATGATAATTTCCCATTCGGCTTTAATTACACTTTCAGATTGATTAAATAGTTTACCAGAATGGAAGAAGAGGCTCATATGGTGGAAGAATTTGACGTGGATCCTTTTCCCTCCATGACAACACCTCCGACGACCATGGATCAGAGTTACAGCACAACAAAATCTTCCACCACCACCATACTGACCAGCCTCATTACGGAAGCAGCGAAGATTCTAAGTTCCACCGCGGCATCCACCAGCACACCGTATTCCTCTACCACAGACGACCCGACGACTTTCACCTTCAGCAGCACGATAGCCGCCTCAACAGCGACTATGGGCATACCCGTGCAAGTGGCCGATAGTGAAGACCTGCTGTTTTCCGTAGTCGATTATGTGATATTTGCTTCGATGCTGCTGATGTCGACTCTGATCGGCGTCTACTTCGGGTTCCTGTCGAAGGTCAAACAGAACAATACCAAAGAGTATCTGCTCGGTGGAAAGACGATGAACAAGTTTCCCGTCTCGGCGTCTCTGATTGCCACGTAAGGATCACCGGGTGGAATCAATAATGCTCGATCTAATAACTTCTACTGTATTGCTTGCAGGCACGTTTCCGGGATCACACTACTAGGAGTACCGTCGGAGCTTTACGGCCACGGAACACAATATTGGCTGTGTATAATATCAGCATTCTCGGTAAGCAAAATTTAATCAAGCTAAAAATTGTGTACACCTGTCTAGACCAGATTGATGGCACAGTCTACGGTTATCGTGTCTGTGATGTCAAGCGGATGGTGGAGGCTGGGCGGATATATCATGATAATGCTCTGATTAGTATCTAGTACTATCTGCGCTCCAGACGTTTGTTGGATTTAGTTACCATTATTAACCTTGATTTTTCACAGCTTTGCTGTTCATCGTGTGCAATTTTATCTAGTAGCGCAAACTTAATTGTGTTTACCAAATCTCGGTAATTTTTGTCGAGATCAGGCGACTTCCTGGCAAACACATTTAGCCGAGATCTCACCAAAGTGGCGTTTGATTGCTGAGTCTCGAAAGACGTGCTACTGAATATCAGCAAACAAACGTGATGTTTGCTGAGATTTCAGTAAAATTTATTACCAAACACTCGGCTGTGCAAATCTCGGTAAAGAAATGCCGAGCTGGTGAAATCAAAACTAAGTGTGTAGTAGAAGAGTTGCCAAAATAGAGTTCTCGCTGAACTAGAGATAGAGTAACGTTTATATTTCGGCACACTGTCCTATTTGTAGAATATTGTGAAAGTAACACGAAAATTATTACACTACTTAGCGTCTTCCATTTTTGTTTTCAGAGAAATGTTTCAGTTAATAAATTGAAAATATACTCACGCATTTTCACACTAGAGTTGAATCGACCTAAAATAAATAGGCATTTTGAACAAACCAGTAACGCGGGTAGATCACGTTTTCGTGGCGCGTTACTGGTATAAGATCCACCTCCGAAGCCTAGTCCTGAGAACTTCAAACTAGAGAAACAGTATTAATCAGTAATCAAAGGAACTCATTTTAGTCCTTGTTGCTTTTTATGCCTTATGTTAACTGACATAACTCCAAATGCGTGTCAACAAGCTGACATGGCTGCAGCTCAACAATGCGATGATCAATCATTATTATTCAGCCACCATTCAAAAGGTACGGAAAAACTCGGAAAAGTTCCGAGAAAAATGCGTGTCTTTGACTTGACTGGCTCTCGGCAATTTGGTTACCAAATTTTCAGATTGAGCCACTTCTTGAAAGCTTTGACTATCTACTTTCAAACGGAACAGACATGTAACTGATTTGACTTACGGCCAGTCGGAACGGGATCGGGTCAATTCCTGAAAGTAGACCTAAAGATCTACAGTTTTTATCTAAATTGCATACAATCATGAGCATAGAGGAAATATGCTATCACCATGTCGATTCTGCTTCCGAGTGGCCAGAAAATGGACCTCTGGTTATCCGGAATCACCGGGAAAATGGTCAATTCCTGGAATTAGACCTAGAGATTCGCGTAAAGTGGACATTTGGCAGCACCTGATTGCAAGAAATTATTGCCAATCGGTTTTCTCTGTTCTGGATACCGCTAAAGCAACCGATGAAGTTATTGTGTTTGGTGACTTCAATCTCCCGGGGATTTCATGGGAAAAAAATTCGCAGCGGCTTTCCCTATCCTGATATGGATCACTTTGTCATCCATTCCAACGCATCGCTCCTTCTGGATAATTACAGCTCAGTCACTCTTTCTCAAATCAATCGTGTTATTAACCAGATCGTTACCATCCGCGCCGCTACTGGTGACGTTAAGTGCTAAGCTGCTGTATAATTTTAATATTTCACCTGCCACCGTTTCCTACGATTTTCGCAACGCCAACCATGGTAGTATCGCCGAGTTACTTTCCAGTTTAGATTAGGAGGACTTATTGAATACCGTTGACATTGATTCCGCCGTTTAAACTATAGACGAGTGCACGGGTGAACTTTTGTTCATCTACTGAAAAAAAATGACACAACAGCGGGGCCCTGTTTACTAAAAATGAACACATAAATAATGCTCGCGTAACATTTGAAAAGGTCCTATCAACTTTTGTGAACAACTTCCTAGGTCCTTTTCACGAGAACCGAAGTACTCCCACGCAAACCAAGAGCACTATTGGGAAGGGAAGAATTTACCATACCCGATGGTGTTGTTAGTTTGCGTGGGCGTATTCGGTTCGCACGAAAAGGGCTTAACAAGTGTTGTGTACAGGGGCCTCCCTTAGCTCATTCGTTAAAGGCGCAGCTACAAAGCAAGACCATGCTGGAGGTGGCTGGGTTCGATTCCCGGTCCGGTCTAGGAATTTTTCGGTTTGGAAAATTTCTCGACTTCCTTGGGTGTAAAGTATGATTGTACTTGCCACACAATTATACTAATTCATAAATGGTACAGGCATCGAAAGCTCTAAAAAATTAATAACTGTGGAAGTGCATCTAGAACACTAAGTTGATAAGCTAAATGGCCATACACAATTAGCTTGAAATGAGAGGAAGAAGAAGAAGGAGTGGTGAGTAATGACTTAACATAGGTAGGGGAGAAAATTTTGAAAAAAAAACAGTTCATACACTTAATTGCATCCAGATGTCGCTTACCTTGACAATAAAACTTTTGAAAATTGTAACAGCACTGCAGTCGCGCTTCTGCTCATTACCGCTTCGGACGGCGTGGCGCTTGGTCCTGTTCAATCTAAGGGGCTGTTCATTAACTACGAGGGGGGGAGATGGGGCAAGAATCCCAAAAAATTGTCTACGTAGTTAATGAACAGTCCCTAATACGAAACGCAGAAAAGTTATTTGGACCCCCCCCCCCCCACTCCCCTATAACGACAACCTAAAAAACATGGATTTTAACGATCACTTTTTTTCCGGGAAATAATTGTTAAGCAAACTACAATGTAGTAAAAAACAAAGTTTAATTCCGTTAAACAACATTTTGATGTTATTATGAGGGTGATTTACCACCAACTGACTGTAAAAGCAGTAGTAAAATTTACTTTTATTTTCTGTTTTTTGTTTCAACATTTGGTTTAACATTTCAATTAATTAGCCTTTGGCTCTTCATCTTTGTTCTAGTTAATTGGTAATTCTAATGTGATGATTGCGTTTAGCGCTAATTTACAGAATACCCTTTTTGGGATTGTTTGGTTTGAATTAAAAAAATTGATAACCTACCTACTTGAGCACAGGAACCTGCCTAACTACTTAGACTAGGTTGCCAAATCACGAATGATCTGGTGGTTTGATCGCAGACAGGCGACTCTGAACCTTTCCAGCGTGGAAGTCTTTCGCTCCTCTAGTGTTTGAAGACCGGCCAGGTGGTGATTCTCAGAATTACGAGTTCGCGGTGGACTGTTAAGGATCATTCTGAGGATCTTGTTTTGGATCCTCTGAAGCTTTAGGTGGTGGCACTTAGCACAACTCTCCCAGATTGGCATACCATACTCAATAGCCGGCAGAATGATCTGCGTGTGGACAGCAAGCTTGTTTTTGAGGGACAGGGTGGACTTCCTGTTTGTCAGAGGGTAGAGCGACCTGACCAAGATGTTACACTTGGTGGATGTCTTGTCCACATGGGATCGGAATAGCAATTTTCTATAGAGGGTGAGACCAAGGTAGACTAATTCACTCGACCATTCAATGGGACTGCTATCTAGATGGATCTTGACGTTAACAGGTGGAACAAGCCAAGGTGAATTCGAGTGTGGAAACAGAATGGTTTGTGTTTTAGTTGCATTGATACAAATCTTCCAGCTCTCGAAATAGTCGGACAAAACATCCAGGCCTGATTGTAGTTTACTCGCCAGAGCACGGATCACTCGACCCTTATAGATGATGGAGGTGTCGTCTGCGAACATTGACAGGATTCCACCACCGACAGGGGAGGAACGTCTGACGTGAAGATGTTGAATAGGATAGGCCCAAGCAGGCTACCCTGAGGGACTCCTGCATCAACGTTGAACGTATCAGAGGGAACATTGTTCAAGTAGACCTGGAGTGATCTGCCCGACAAGTAGTTTTTGATGATCTTCACGAGGTAGATCGGAAAGTTGTATCGATGCAGCTTGTACACTAGACCATCATGCCAGACATTGTCGAACGCCTTCTCGACGTTCAACAATGTCATGGCAGATGTATTGGAAACGGACTTGTTCCGCTTGATGATGTTAGCAACCCGTGCGAGTTGGTGGTGGCCTTTCCTAAACTCGAATTGCTCTTTGAGAAAGATATTATTGTCATTTGAAAACACCAGCAGACGGCTGAGTATCAACTTTTCGAATAGCTTCGAGATGGAGGACAAGAGGCTGATGGGGCGATAGCTTTTGGCACTGGTAGGATATTTGCCCGGCTTGTGTATTGGAATCACTTTGGCTAACTTCCAGCATGCAGGGAAATGGACAAGCTCCAAACATTTGTTGAAGATAATGGTAGAATGGTTGAAAAAGTCAATACCCAAGTTTTTCAACTCGAGGTTGACTACACCATCCATACCCGCAGCCTTCATGTTTTTAGTGCTTATAATAGCTGCTACTGACTGTAAAATTTAGTTTATTTTTTTTTTTTTAGTTTAAATTTTAGTTTATTTTTTTACTAAGTGATTTAATTGCTTTCTTCATCTTTAGGTATGGGCAAAATTCAAAATTTGTTTTACAGAATTAGTCCTAGACTTAGTACACGGTCGACCACCTTGGTGGGATTGGTTTGTTTTGTTTTTAGAATTTGAAGAGAAACTACTTAATACTACTATTTACAGCTTAAAACTAACCTACTCTACTATATACACTTAACCTACTATGTACAAATTGCTTATTAAAGCATGTTCAGAAAGATTGCATTTTTGAATAAATTTAGTTGTCATATCATCAATTTTGGAATCTACTTTGGGAATTTCTGCCTCTTGATGGAGGTCTGCTATTCTTGTGTCGAATGGACGATCTAGGATCATCCTCAACACTCTATTCTGTGCAACCTGGATTTTGTTCCTGTGGGTCTGAGCGCACGATTCCCACACCGGGGCGGCATAGAAGATCGCGGGGGCTATGATCTGTTTGTAAACAGCCAGTTTGTTTTGCCTTGAGAGGCGGGATCTGCGGCAAATGAGCGGATACAAACACCTAACCAAGGCGGAGCACTTAACTAGGG